CCAAGGGCGTCACACTGCCAGGCAGTCGTGGCTTGGCTCAGGGCCTGCAGGAATCCACGTCTCTGATCCCTTACAGTCACGCAGTCTCAGAGGCTTGCTGGGTTTTTTTGGTTTTTTTTTTTGAGACAGGGTCTCGCTCTGTCGCCCAGGCTGGAGTGCGGTGGTGTGATCACAGCTCACTGCAGCCTTGACCTCCTGGGCTCAAGTAATTCTCCCACCCCAGCCTCCAGAACAGCTGGGACCACCGGTGTGTGCCACCATACCCAGGTAATTTTTGTAGAGAGGGGGTCTTGCTACGTTGGCCAGGCTGGTCTTAAACTCCTAGGCTCAAGCAATCCTCCAGCCTCAGCCTCCCGAAGTGCTGGGGTGACAGGCGTGAGCCACCGTGCCCAGCCTGGGACTCACTTTCTCTAATGTAGTGGAGAATTTGGTGAGACTAGAACAGCACACACACACAGTCCCTGATGCCGGGCAGATGCTCAGGGCTCACGAGCTCCTCGGCCCACACACAAACCCGCATCCATCACCCACATTTCCACAGGCCCAGGGCCAGCGAGCAGCAGCTGGAAACCAAACCTTGCCCCGAAGCGGCTAAGACAGCTCTTTGCATTTTTAAAGAGAAAAAAATAATAATAAACTATTCTGAGATGTGAAAATGCTATACAATTCCAGTTACAGGGTCTGGCAACAAAACCATCTGGGGACCAGGCGTGGTGGCTCACGCCTGTCACTGCAGCGCTTTGGGAGGCCGAGGCGGGAGGTTCACCTGAGCCCAGCAGTTCGAGACCAGCCTCAGCATCACTGCAAGACCCCATCTCTATTTTAATTTTTAAAAAGCATTTTGGCCCATTTTACATATGATCTGTGATGCTTTCCAGCAACAGTGGCGGAGCTGAGACGCGTGACGGGGACCACGCGGCCCGCAGAGCCCACGGGAGGGACACTGGGCACCTCACAGCACTGGCCGACCCTGCGGTGGCCATTCCCATCCGTCCTCTGCAGGACAGCCAGGCGGCCTGCCAGCTCTCAGTTCTGTTCACCGGGACCTGCACGGAGCAGATGTTCCAAGCCACGCACTGCAGAGGCAGAGGCCGGGCCACGTGTATCAAAAGCTGTGTTTAATGATCAGACTGAACGGCAGCAAGGCCACACAGACAGACAGAGTCAAGGACAGGACCGCCGCCTCTGAACCCCTCCCCACTGGTCCAACGTCCAACACCAAAAAAGAGAGGTCCCCACCCTGTGCCCATGTACAAAATGGCTTCAGTGAAGGTGCCGTTACTCCCTGGGAAGCTGGTATTTTCTGGAAGGGATCGGGGCTCACCCCTGCCACCCTCTGACGGGAACAGACCCGTGAGAGCGCAGCGCTCAGCAGTCCCCGTGTGCAGCTGGGGGTGACTGACTTGACAGAAACAGATTCTGGACTCGAGTCTGGAGGCTGTGTGGACAGGGCGGGTGGCAGACGGGAGCTGGGGCCCTGGCGCCGCAGACAGCCAGGGTGCAGGCTCTGTCGCTGCGGCCACAGGGAGTGCTGCTTCGGAAGTGACCACGTGCAGCGAGGGGAGGATGCCAGGGCCTGGGGCCACGCCTCAGTCAGTTCCTGCATGGACGTCTCTGCCCCCGAGTCAGGAGAACCTCCTCAGTGAGTAGACCACGCCAGTGGCAGATGTCCTCGTGGGTTCCAGAAGCTCCTAGATGCTGGGTCCAGAGGGTTAAGAACCACGCACCAATGCCGCTGCCACAGGGAGAACCCACGCCCAAGCCCCTCTCGGCGGAAAAGCAACACAGGGCCCGCGCGGGGAGCGAGGTTGGGTGCCAGGAGCAGCCAGGACCTCCCGAAGCCCAGTCCCTCCCTCCCAGGGCCCCAGGGACCCCCGAGGGCCTGACCCAGCCTGCCTGGCGCCTACTCCTGCTTGTCAGAAGGGCAGTCTGAGATGTCCACCCCACCAGGTGGCACCAGCAGGACTTCTAGAAGTTGCGACTGTTTATTAAAACGGGGAGGAGTGTGCAGGCACGGCCAGGTGCCTCCGGCTGAGGGCAGGGCGGGGCCTGAGCCAGGGGAACGGCTTGTCCACTCACTGCCAGCCTCGTTCACGCCCCGAAACCCTGCCCCACAGGCCTGTCTCAGTCAGCGTCAGGGTCCAGGGTCCAGATGCCGCCCCGGCCACCAGGCCGTGTCCTAGGCTTGGAGGTGGCTTCCAAACCTCCCAGGGGCTCCAATCTGCTCGAGAGGGAAAAGCGATGCCTTCTGGGAGACAAAGCTGCTCCTC